TTTTTCTTTCCAGGCCTCTTCCTAGTCCTCAGGACATTGGCACAAGCAGGTGAGTCCATCTTTAAATATTGAGATACTATCCATTGCAATAGATAGGTTTCATTTTAACAGGAGAGCAGGCATCACAGGGTGTTGGCTGCTGGCTTTTGTGAGTGACTTGTTGGTGAGCCTTCTGAATTGTGAAATTAGGACTCTGAACCCTGTCCATCAGCTCTCTCCTAGATGGTCCCAGACACAGCTCTCGGCTGACTCAGGCATCAACGTATTTTGGATAAACTTTTAATGTCTGGTTTTTCAACACAGGGTTTCTCTGTGTTGCCCTGACTATCTTAGAATTTACTTGGTCCACCAGGCTACCCATGAACTCAGATATTCACCTGCCTCTGCTTATCATGTGATGCAATTAAAAATGTGAGCCATAACACCTGGAAACTCATGACCAGACTATCATTCAGCTTCAGGAAATCCACAGAATTTTCTGATCTTATTGTTAGGAACTCTGTCTGCTACAGCTTTTTTGAGAAAATTTTTATATACTTCATCTCTGAAGGAGAGTGTTGCTGTCAATTATAGGCATAGTTTTTCTTTTCTCACTCAGCTGGTCATCCTGGTCTCTTGTGTCCTGTAAGTGTTTGCTCAGAAGTCTGATATTAGCTGTACTGGAAGTCACCCATGTTCTTTTCCTCTTTTGTCAATGTGATGTCAGGATCTCTCATGACAATTATATGCTCATTGATCTTGATGATTGGATTTGAATTTGTTTCATGTCATTTGATCATCTTTAACCTGACCATTTTCAGGTTTCTTCATGTCTCAAGACTGTTGTACAGTAACTTTTCTAAATAAGTTTTTCTCTCCTCTTTTCTAAGCTTTGTTTTCCTGTCTTTTTGTAAATATTATACAATTTCTTTGTGAATTTCATATAATATTTTAATAATATTCATTCTGCTCGCAAAACTCATTCTAAATGCCACCTTCATCGTCCCAAGTAAACCTCAATGTTCCTTTATTTTTCTTGAATTTTTATGATTTTTAATTGGGTATTTGGATGGTTTCAATTTATTTTCATTCAGGTTTTGTATTTACATGACATATCATGTAATGCGTAATCTAAGCTCACTCACTCTCCTATATTATAATCAAGTAAACTGTTGGTATGTTCTCTTAGCTTTTACATTTTTACATTTATTTGGTGAATTTGTGAATGTGTGTGTGTGTGTGTGTGTGTGTGTGTGTGTGTGTGTGTGTGTGTGTGTGTACATCCACCATTACACTAGTGTGGAGGTAGAGGAAAACCTGCTGAAATCAATTTTCTCTTTTGACCATGTGCATCCTGGCAATGGTTTTCAGAGAGTCAAGCTTGACAGAAAGAGCCTTTGCCACTTAGACATCCAGCTGGCCCATATATTCTTCCAATTCAGTAGCTGATTTTTTTGTCTGTGGGGGTGGTATACAAAAATTTTATGTTATTGTTAGTTCATTTCAAAATTCAAAATATTTTCTACCCAGAGTTTCTTTTTCTCATAGTTAGATTGCATCTTTTTTCTTTTATAAAAGATGATATCTTTGTAAATTAAATATATGGAGAATGTCATACATAACTGTTATATGTACATCATTTCCACCCCTTGGAATGTATCCAAAGAACTTGACGTCCTATGGCATTAATGCTTGTTCAATCATGTTCTTTGCTGCTCTATTTTCAATAGCCAGGACATGGAAACAACCTGAATGTCCTTCAGCTGATGAATGGATAATGAAATTTTAACCCATGTACACTGTGGAATACTGTTCAAAGATAAATAACAATGAAATTAACATTGACACAGATAGAACCAGGAAATCTCATACTGACCAAGGTAACCCAGACCCAGAATCACAAATAGCATATTTTCTATTTTGTCACTGGATGATAGCTCTAACGCTGAATCCGTGTGTTTATTCTCCTAACAATTGACAAGGATTATTTTTATTTTTCTCTCATATATTATATCCCTATCACAGTTTCTCCTACATTCATTTCATATTCAGAAAAGAGCAAGGCTCCCTGGGATATTAACAGAGCAAAGCACAAAACGTAACACTAAGCCTAGGCCCATAAGCTTGTATCAACATTGGACAAGGAAACCGTATAAGAGGAACAGGGTCCTAAGTGTAGGTATAAGAATGAGAGACAGCACCAACTCCCAATTCTAAGAGTCCAAGAAGAACACCAAGCTATACATCCATAACACACATGCAGAGTAACTATCGTAGACCCATACAGGTTCCCTGATGAACTCTTCAGTCTCTGTAACTGAAGGCCATGATCCATTCTACTTGAATCCTTGGGTCATGTTCTGGTGATGCCTTTGACCTCTTTGACTCCTACAATTCTTCCTTCCCCCTCTTATTTGAGCTTCCTGGAGCACTGCCTAATGTTTGGCTGTGGATC